TGAACTTTGTTGCTGTTTGAAGAGGGAGTGCGTTTGGTCTCCTGAGTGCAGATTGTATTTCAGAAAAGGTCTGAGTTGAATGGTGAATGGCATTTGGTATTACATGGATTGTTTGTCTAATGAGTCTTTTCATCTCAAGGGACATTTTCCTTTTTGCATTGCATTTTGTGGAGTGTTTATTCTGAAGTCTATAATTAAGCCTGGCCCTTTCTAATGTTGATAAAATAACCCGGAAACAGATAATTATTTTCACAGTTTTGTTTCTTAGTCCTAACTTGCTTGTCCAACAATGCAGTTTTTCTAGGCATTTCTTGAGTTCTCTGTTTCTTGGTGATCTTAGGGAATTATCATAACCTTAACTCTGTGACCAGACACTTGGTTGGGCTGTGACTAAAGTTACACAAACATTTTTGCTTGAGAAATTCTCGGAGCATTGAAAGACCTTTCCATAGAATAAAAGTATTTGAGGGAAAAGAGTAGCAGAGACAGCACTTGTCATAAGAGATTCATTGCTCTAATTCGGTAACTTGTGTCTCACAGTGGTTGAAGCAGGTGCTGCAAGGTGCTAACAATATTCACCAGATGCCTAAGTTATATGCAGTCCATACCAAGGTCTAGTCTGTGGCAGACCTTGTTTTACACCACAAAATATGACAAGGGGATGGATTTTAAGGGGTATTTTATTTGACTAAGATTCAGCTACTCCTGCCAAACTTAGTCTTGGCCAAGGAAGAGAAAAGGTACCAGGGACCATGGATCCCACTATTTTGACTGTATCTCACGTCTACTAAGAGCATGGATGGACTTTGTTCCAAATTCTAACACATGTGCATGGCATTTAATTTCTGCAGCTATTCTCTGAAGCTGTTTCAATGATGTTTCAGGCTCTGTAAAGCAGGGCTGCACAGTCTCAGAGCCCCAAAGTGGAGAAGAAGCCTGGAATCAGGATAGTGTGTGTCAGAGACACCTTTCTCTTTTCTGCCCTGGCTCTTTCTGCTTTCCTGCACAGTGCCTCCTGTTTCCCCTTTGATCCAGTGCAGCTGAATACAACAGGAGGAGGGAAAGGGAGGATGTATGGAGGGGTAGAAACATAAAGACCTCTGCCTTCTACCAGGCCTATGAGTGCACATCAGTCCAAATGCAGCTTCCTTGATGCACCAGGAATCCGCTGCTTAAATATTAATTGCTTCAGTTCTGAAGCCACTGCTTTTTTTCCATCAAAAAGGGTCTGAAAGTTTAATTTAAAAGTCCCAGTGGGTTTGCACTGGTCAGGGAGATTAGAAGAGGTTTTGAATGGCTTTTCAGGCAGTTAAGTACCTCATTAAAAATCTGACTAGTGAGCTGACTTGTTAACCACCAGTAAAAGCCAGAGACACTTTACGTGTGCTGTAAATGGATGAACAGTTTCAGTGTTTCTTGCCCTCTTGATTTAGGTACACTGATATCAGAGTATAAATTCAGATTCAATCTCCTGAGTGTGCGTCATACACTTCAGTCATAACCATTTGTGTTCTCAAAATAGAATCCCTTGCACACCAATTTGGCTTATCTATAGTACAGTATTACTCTTCAACAAGGTGTCTTGAGCTCAAGCATGGAGTTCCTCTCCCTTCTTTCTGAAAACATAACATTTTACCTTGATAAACCCATGTTGCCTGTGAGTTAATAAAGTTGGCTGTTACAACAGACAGATTCCCTATGTATCACAGTCCCTATGGGCAGTCCTGCTGCCTGGTTAGCTTCAGTGCCAGCAATAGCTGCTGCAGGATGTTCTGTGGCCATTCCTGTTGAATGTGCAGTTACCAGCCCATGTGGAGAGATTGCAAGGACATGGGCATGAGAGAGTCAGGACCAGATGAAACTGGATGCATGAAAACCTCTGCAGGAGAAAGGAAATGTGTGCAAATATAGACTCTGCCTCCTCTGTGGCTTGTGTCAGAGGTGATGCTTCAAAGTACATGTCATCAGTACTCACTGACCCGGGCAAAAGAAATGTTACTGGCATGTTTTGTCACTGCTGGTAGGAGCTCAGTGAATGAAGTCAATGGCATTCTTGCAGCCAGACCTCACTGAGATGGATTAAATAAAAGTTGGGTGCTACTGGCAGACAAAGATGCATTGACAGACATATAAGTTTAAGTTACCGGGTTCAAAAACAAGAGTTGAGACAGTTATCAGCATGAGCACATGGTTCTTGAGAAGGTGTGTGGCAGGTTTTCACTGGGTACCTGCTCTCACACAGAAAAGGACCAGTGATGTCAGGCACTCTGCCAAAAGCTGAGTGGATTCTGAGCCACAGAGATGGGATCCAGCTGGAAGGCTGCAATTTCACACCTTCTGACCAGCACAGGACATTTAATCTAATTCAAAGAAGAAAAGCTGTAGAATTTATGCCCTTGATAAAGGGCCATGTGGCCCATTAAGGAGAGGCCAGCTCCATGCAAGACAGAGGGAAAAAATATGTATTTTCTTTCAGGGAAGTTTTGCTAAGATATGATGCTCTTTGTTGGACTGTGCCCTGAGTTTGCAGAGTAGCAGCTCAGGCACTCACTTTTCTCACCAGAGTACTTTGGTAAGCTCTGGTGACACAGATAGCACAAACATGTGCAAGCACACCTGTTTCTCATTGCTTGGTGAACTTTGTTAAGAGTCGAGTAAGACCTTTGCTATTTAAGCTGTCTCTGTTACAATGGTCCTACATCCTCTGGCTGCACTTTGTGCAGCCTGAAATGTTTTTCCAGCATCAAGGAACTGCTTGAGCATGGCTGATTTTGGCTCAGAAGAGGTTAGTTTAACTGAGGTTTCTTACAGACCCACTAGTGGTAGCTTGCATTGGAGTGGAAAGGTTGGGTTTTGTCCTTAGGGCAAAGCAGTGCTGAACTGTTGCTCCTTGCCCCAGGATGGGAGTGAGCCAGCTAGCCAGCAAATCCATTTTAGGAATTGTGGATACACAGTCTAATATATTCTGACAGGTTTGAGCAAAGAATGACATCAGTGCTCATTTGGTTTTGAACCTTATGATGAGGAACTTGTTCCAAGAGAAGTAACGTTTCTCTGACCTCAAATTCAGATGTATTTTTAAGTAAAATTGGGATGGTTAATAACTGTAAGGGTCTAGAATATTTTCCTAAATTTCAGAGATTGTAAATATTAGGAAGAAAAACAAGAACACAAGTTTGAGGTTGTCACTTCTAGCAGTGACTTCCAAAAGCTGTTTCATAAGGGATTAGCAGAGGGGACATGTCCTATTGCCCTGCATGAAGCTTTGACTGCCTCAGGGTCTTTTGAGTAAGTGTGAAAGGCATCTTGAAACCAAAGAAATACCGTGGGGGTTTCATAATCCCTGCACTAAAGCTAAGTGCACCACTGAGGATAGACGAATGTGACACGAGGCCACTGGAGCCTGGAACTGCAGGCAGTGGCACAGGGCAGAGCTGATCTGGCAGGCAAGACTGAATCAGCACTTCCACCACTTGTAATCCTTTGTGTCTGGGTTACTAAAGGTCCAGAAATTCGAAAGAGATTTGTAAGCATTTGAAATTCATCAGGCCGGGCAAGCCCAGCCAAACCCGTGCTTTGCTGCATGGCCTTCCTGGCTGCTAGCTATAGGATCTTGACAGAAAATTCCCATTCGTAGGGGACAGGCAGCTCTGTGGTTGCCTCTTAGTATTTTTAGGATCAAGACCTCTACATCTCCTCATGTGATGGAGGCATGATCTCTCAGATGACAGAGGCATAGGGTCAGAGCCTGTGCCTCTTACACAACAGGGCTCTACTATTGCCCCAGGAGACTAGGTAAAGACCAGAAGATTGTAGTTTTAGCTAATCATTTGTACAACAGTCAGACCTCATGAACTTTCTAAATGTCATCAAGCTCACTGCAAACTTTCACATTATGAAATAGCTTAACCTTTATTGTAGAATTTCTGGGAGAATAGAAATATATAAGAAGTTAGTCTTCAGTGATTTTACACTGTGTTCTATTTAACATTAATCAACACCTGATGCTTGACAAACAGGACTGTGAGAAGTGTGATGTTTGGTGTAAAAACATCCATTCTTTGTATGGTGTTTTGTCCATAGTCAAAAGAAATAATTGCTGCTGTTTTTTCCCCTCCTTTTCTTTCTCTAAGGCTCAATCTGCTTTGCAAACATGGCTATTGCTATGCTTGAACCAGCTTTACCCATCTGGATGATGGAGACCATGTGTTCAAAAAAGTGGCAGCTTGGTAAAGTACAGTATATTATTTGCATCTCTATATTTTGTCTAATGATTGTCTCAGTTCTGGTCTTGTTCATGATTCTTTGCTTCAGGGGGGTAATTTTTCTTTTACAATCTTTACATTATCAGAGTTATACCTGCACAATTACAAGCATTGGTCTGTAAGAAGAATAGATAGTGGATTTATGCTGTTGTAATAGAGGCTCTGTAAGGGGATACACTGACTTTGCTAGGAGAAATATTTGCATCAGCCACAGCACTGTGGTTGATCCAGCTCCATTGGGAACCCCAGAAACACATCTGGCAGCAAGTGTTGGCTGGGGCAGCTGCGAGATGCCTGTTGAGCTGCAGAGCCAGCCCTGCAGAGCAAAACAATTTGTTTGGTTTGTTTTCCCCAGAGGGAATCCATCCTCAGTCCCTGCTTTGAATTGCCAGGAGCAGCAGCCACAGAACTCTGCAGCAGGTGCACCATGTTTGGTGCAAATCATGCTCCTGCCAACACAAACTCCTTCCAGGCTGGTAACATGTGGAAGAAGGATGGACTTAAAATGTGGCCACAAGAACATGAGGAGCAGTTTCCCTTGAATTTGATAGATTTTATGTTCTTTTAGTGGTTACTGAGTCATCCCACAGAAAGCAATAGGAGAGCCCCAACTTGGAGCTCCCTATAACCTGTAGCAGGGACACAGCCTTGGGAAAACAGTGGCCACAGGCAAACAGGGAACATGTCCCATGTATCAAGTTAGACTAGAGTGTAAACCTGGAACAGTTATTCTCTCTTGGAGGTAAACAGGAGGGAAAGAAAAACACCACCAGAAAATGGAATAAATTCCAGTGAGTGTCAAACTGTGTGTGAGAGGTTGATGTGAATCTTCCTGAGTGAGGGATGCCCAGTCTTCATGCATCTATTTGATAAATTAATGAAGTATTCTGTGCTGTGCTGTTTCATGAGGGTATTTTTTAATATCAGTGTGTGGCATTTGAAAGAAAAGGAAAATCCTTCATGAAAATGATGTTCTGCTAGCATCCAACTGATATCCTTAGTTTATGTTAATGTAGGCAACCCTACAATACATTACATTTCCCTATAGAAAGCACAAACCTTAGTTCTAATTAGTGCAGTTCAGATCTAGGGTGGCATAGATGCAGTTCTAAATGTGCTGCTGGACTGTTGACCATGGTAATGACTTCTAGCCTGTGATACAGCAAAATGAACATGCAAACTTAGGTACTTTGAACCTCACAAAGGAAAAATAAAGACTGCTTATCTACCTCCCTCGCCAGAGTTTCATATCACTAGTGCAACAGAAATGAGACTTACAGAGGTTCCTAGAAGGAAATCATCCATTTTAAATGAAGACTAATTTTACCCCTTAATGATATAAGTAATTGACTCCATTACACTTTATCTGATTTCACAGCATTAATTAAAGTTTTTAAGCCTCTTAAATTATATCATGAACTGCAGGGTTTTAAGCAAATGATTACCTTATGCAGTTGGAGATCCAGCTGTTTGAAGCATGATCTGAAGAAGGTATAAAGAACCTTGATTTGAACAATTAATGTTACTGTGCTTATTTAGAAATCTGTGGTTCAGCTTCAATATACCACAGCTTACACACCAACCTGCAAATCTGATTGAAAAAGCCTTTGCATATTATTTCCAGTTTACAGCTGTCAAGGTCTGCTCTGTGTGACCATTTGGTATAACCAGATAGCTCCAAGCAGTACTGAGGTAGCTGTGGTTACACAGGTGAAAATGAAATGCTTCCCCAGCACCACCACTGTAACCCACAAGGATTTTAATCACAGGATATTGCTGTGCTAAAAATTACCTCTCGATTTTTTTCTTATGAATATCAGAGAGATAGGAAGGAAGATGGATAGGCAGGAAATGAGAAAATCTATGTTGCCTTGGTGAAAGATGAGGAGCATATACACTTGAAGGAAATGGTTTGATTATGTACCATAATGTCACGGCTGCTTTCTAAATCTGAATTACCTGACCAAATGGAAGACTTGGTATGCCATGCACTAATTTGTCAGACTTTCTCAGTTTTGCCAGGTTTCCCAGTCTGGTTTTTCTTGAGATGCAAAATTTAACAGGACCAAAATATTGTGTGTTGTTTCTTCCCAGACATATGACCCATTCGACAACACAGCACAAGGACCTGGCATTAGGCACAGCCACCTTGTCCCTCTGCCTCTCTGGTATTTTTCATAAAATACCTTCTTGTCAAGGGCAGCCCATGTTCTCACACTCACCTTCATCAGCCTCCCTGGTGCTCTCCAGGCAGCTGAGGCAATGGCACACTGTGTTCCCCATTTCTGCCTTTGACATTTCCCCTCTGGCTGAGTCCTGTGTGTAGGGAGAGGATGAATCCTCCAGTACAGACTACAACTGGCATTTAAACCAGAGATGTTTCTGCTCACTGTGTAACCTGCATCTACCCCAGATACAGCCACTGCTATGAAAACCTCAAGGCTAGAAAAATCTGCTCATCCCAACAGCGGATGTGAGGGATGAGAGTCTGGGTACCCTCCCATCAGGGTCAGAAGGAATTTACTCAGGTGCCCTCACCTGCTAGTCATTACACATAACTAATGTTTTTTCCGTTTAAACCAATAACTAAAAATACGTTGGCTAAATAGTTCCAAAACAATACTTTTAAAGATGTTTTACCCTTACATTATTGATATATGTTTGACTTCAGTCACTGCTTGGCCAAGGACCACGTCATGGCACTACAGACTTGCCTGTTACAGGAAGCCTCAAGGAATTCTCAGGCTTGGAGAGGGACTGTCACTTGCAAAGCCACAGCAGCAGTTCTGCTGTCCCCTCCTCCAGGAGGGATTCACCCACCCCTGACTGTTCTGGCTGCATGTGCTGAGCATATGCTCCATACGCCGTGAAACTGCAGAAGAGTTGCTTTCCTTGACCTATCCCAAAGCTTATTGTAGCTAGATATAAACTTTTTGCTCTTTGTTGTTCCATCCCCTCTCCCATACCAGTTCTTGTAGCTGATGCTGTTTTCAAAGGCATCACATTGCTCCTGCATTTCACAGATGATGTCCTTAGATTTCATGAGAAGGCTGCAGCAAACCGGATATTTGATTCTTTGGGCTCTATTAGATCTGTTCAGATCAAAATTGCAGTGTCTGGGATTTATTAGTTTCTTCTAACACCTCACTAAAATCCTTGCTGATAAAACATCTCATTCATATTTTTCAGGCGTTGCTTTTCTGCCAGCTAGTATCTCTTATCTCATTGGGACTAATCTTTTTGGGATACTGGCACACAAAATTGGAAGGTATGCTTCATTTAAAAATACTAATCATCTTCCAGTTTCTTCGTGTACCATTTCTAGTGTTTCCCAGAGCAGTTTATTGGGAGTGGAAATTATTAAAGTTTGTTCTATAGTAGCAAAATTGCTTTTGGGAACATGTTGCTACTTTTGTTGTGTAACTCAGCACTTCAGATGTGACTTTGAAACATTCAAGAGCAGCTCTAATATCTCATTATCACCAATCTGAGTGATGTTTCATCTTTGACAGGTGGCTTTGTGCTTTGCTTGGGATGCTAATCGTGGGGCTAAGTATTTTATGTGTAAGTAGATCATGTGTCTTTTAAAGCATGTGAATATTTCTGTGCTCATCCTTAAATATATGCTTTTCCTGTGAGATTTTGCTGAACTTTCTGCTTTATGACATGTTATTAAACAATGTGTAGTTAATAGGTTCCAGATCAGAGTTTTGAGTGCTTTCAAATTTCAGTGCTTCAATTATTTTAAGAAAGGTGGCTCTGAAGGGAGGATGATCTGTGTCTTTTAAAGCATGTGAATATTTCTGTGCTCATCCTTAAATATATGCTTTTCCTGTGAGATTTTGCTGAACTTTCTGCTTTATGACATGTTATTAAACAATGTGTAGTTAATAGGTTCCAGATCAGAGTTTTGAGTGCTTTCAAATTTCAGTGCTTCAATTATTTTAAGAAAGGTGGCTCTGAAGGGAGGATGATCTTCAGCTG